AAAAATGTACCATTGACCAAAATTACCACACAAAAAGCAGCCCAACAAACAAACAAAGCCTCCTCTTCTCTCACCAATTTTCATTTCTTCACTCAAAAAACACACTCACTCAGAGCATCTCCAATGCTCTAATGTTGTTATTAGATAAATTTTGACAAATGTCAAAATATTAAATAGATTGTGAACCATGTAGGACAAATGTTGAGTTCACAACTATTAAATTAAAAAATCATTTCAATGCACAATGTAGTTTCATTACAATATTATCTACTTACCAAATATTAAATTTTAATATAAATTAATAAAATTAATTAAATAATTAAATTGTTTGAAAATGGTAATAATATTTCTCTCTCTTCTATTCATTGGCTAGCTAGAGTGTGGAGGAGAATGTGAATGAACTACATTCCTCTCTACATTCTATACATTAATTATGTCCACATCACCACAACATTTGTAATCACATTGTACATTGGGTAATAAAAAGTTGTGACATTAATAAATGTGTTGATGTAGAATGTAATTTACCACTACAACATTGAGCATTGGAGATGCTCTCACAATCCCCACACACTCGATTAAAACACACACACACACACAGAGACAACTTATAATCAAGAAAATGGTGAAATCCCGGCCGCCGTACAAGCCGCCGCCCACCGGCCGGACCAACCTCGCCTCGTGCATAGTCGCCACCGTCTTCCTCATCTTCATCGTCATTGTCGCCCTCATCGCCTTCTTCACCGTATTCAAGCCCAAGCCCCCCATCCTCGCCGTCAACGCCGTCCAGATCCCGGCCTTCTCCGCCGCCAACTCCACCGTCGGGTTCACCTTCTCCCAGTACGCCACCCTCACCAACCCCAACCGCGCCGCCTTCACCCACTACGACAGCTCCCTCCGCCTCCTCCACGCCGGCGCCCAGGTCGGCCTCATGTTCATACCCGCCGGAAAAGTCGACGCCGGCCGGACCCGCTACATGGCCGCCACATTCTCCGTCCAACCATTCCCCCTCGCCGGCGGCGTCGCTCCAGCCCCCGCCCGGCCCGAAAGCGTCGTCCCGAGCGTAACGGATGGGCTCGGCGGGTTCCGGGTCGGGCCGAGTCTGGAGGTTGAGTCGGTGATGGAGATGTCGGGTCGGGTTCGGGTCTTGCACTTCTTCACTCACCATTTGGAGGTTCGGGCCGATTGTCGGGTCTCCATCGCCGCCGGCGATGGGTCTGTTTTGGGCTTCCACTGTTAAAGTTCTTAATTTGTTTTGNAGAAGGGGTGTTTTTTACTTTATTTTCTTAGTGAAAAGATATTTGCTTCCTTCCCAAAATTTTAAAATTTTTTGCTTATTATCATTTGAATTGCTATGCTCTAGTGAATTTGTAAATGCTCAAGCTTGTATCGAGCAAAACTCAGTTTATTAAATAAATATACTCACATCGACTTGTTTGTCAATATTATCGAGCTTTAACGAACTAGGCTAAATTAAGATTTAAAAAAAAATCAATAAAAATTTATATTAGCTTGGTAGCAACTCGTTTAGTTTAGCAACTATTTCTCTAGCATTCAAGTGTTACTATTTACAAAAGAAATTTAATTTAGAATAGAACACAAGACAAGAGCAGCTGTGTGTGTGAGAAAAGCTAATTAACAATGGCACCCCTTTTAAGATAAAAGGGATTTTTGGTCTCCTTTTAGTGGAGGATTTCTGGTTTGAAAATAGCGGGAAATGCGCAGCGTAATCAAAAGAAGAGGGCCCGCTTTCATGTGGACGGTCCGCGATTTCTGTTCATAGTGTTCACTTCTTGTTTCCCTTACTAATAATAATTTCTTTATGAAAAGACTCACATAAAAAAATAGCCTGATTTTTTTTCTTTTATTATTATTATTATTATTATTTTTTTTAAAATCTGGATGTTCTAACTCTATTTCCACACTGGTAATTGTAGTTGTTGCAAGAAGAGGCTAGCTAGTTCAAGTTAAATAATCCACATAATTTGTAGTTTTCCTTGCAAGTTATTTTTTCCAATCACCAAGAAATTTTACTATAAATTTGTTCCTATTCGTATATACCATGAATAAACACACCTATATAAATATGGATGTATATGAAATTTGTTTTAAACGATGAATCAACAGATATCAACCTTGTGAGAGCACTAATATTACACGATTTAAAATCGAATTTACCAGTTTTGGTGTGACATTGAAATTCAAGGTGGGCCTTTGTCTTCCATAGTGGCATCCACCGTTGTCTCCGTTCCCTTGGTAGTCGAGCAAAGACCCTCCGTTTTTTGACTTCATCAACACTACTTACTTTTGTTTAATCCTTCATAATTTTTTATTAGATATATTGGATAAAGTGATGTAAAAATAAGAGAACTGTGATTAAAAGTGATAAATAATTAATATTATTTGATTGATAATTAATTAATATTATTTAATTATATTAATAATATTGACGAGAATTAAATTGAAATAAAATTAAGTTGAATTTTAATTAAATAGTGTAAAAAATAATTTATATGGCCAATCACCACTACAAAGCACGGACTCTTCTTTTTCTATGTACTCTTTATTCCAAAATGAATACCAGTGCATTGTTGAATTCACCAATACACAGGTTTTCAAAATGGGCTTATGCATCTACCATTACTTGATTGGGCCTTCCCAACACCAAAGCCCAATACATCACAGGTGATAAAAGTCCTCAAATTCACACTCAATCATAACCAATACATGCACACATGACACAACAATTCCAAATCCCAACCCCAAATCTCAACCCCAAAACAAGAAAAGAAAAGAAAAAAGAAAAAACAATTAGCACCACTTCGTATTTCATAATCTCTTGTCATCTAAAGCTGTACCTTTTGGTCTCCAAGCACAGGCCCTCCCTCCACCACTGATGAATCCCATGTGCATCCTTAAAGTCCCTCGCCGGATTCCGGTTAACCGACAAAATAGCCGACGGCAACAAATGCAGAGGCTCCTCCACTGGCCTTTTCCCCACCGCACTCAACAGCAATCCCCCGATTGAGTGCTGTGTCGCCAGCCGCTCGATATTCCCAACCCCAATCTCCTCCATCCTTTCCCTATGCTCGAAATACCCAACATACTCCGAACATATATGGTCCGACGAGTTCACAAAAAGCCCCGGAAACCACCCGACCAAAGCCTCGAAACTATTATTATTACGATTATTACCATTATTATTATGATTCGTATTGATTATGTTGTTTTTCATCGCGAACGCTAGCCCGGCTGTGATCACGCTCCCGGCGAAACGTATCCCGTGCTTCACCTTTTTGTCCTTGATGGTTTCGATCGGTGCCGAAAAGAAGGGAGGGTTGAAAAGGAAGGAGTCGAGGAAAGTTCCGGTCTTGGCCGTGTTTTTTCCGGCGAGAAGCGCCATGGCGGCCCCCAAGGAGTGGCCGGCGAGCCATACGCCTGATGAGCTTCCGAAAGTCGCGATGACGTGGCGGACGGCTTGTATGGCGGTCTCGAAACGAGACGTTTGGTGGAGCCCATTTCTGACGACGTGGATGTCGAGCTCGAGGTCGCGCGTGAACGCGTTCCCTTTGGTGATGGTGCCGCGGAAGGCAATGACGTGGCGGGGGGCCGGGGGGTGGTGGTCGGGGAGGCGGAAGATGGCGCCGAATATGGAGGAGTCGGTGTTGTCGATGAGCTGGCGGTACAGTTGGAAGCCGAAGGTTTCGAACCAAGGAGGGGCGAGGGCGTGGGGCCCGGCCCGGTTTGCTTGACGGTCGCGTTCAAGGATGTAGACGGACTGGACAAGGCAGGCAGAGATCGACCTCCGGTGGTCGGGATTCGACCTGTGTTAGGTGAGGAAATCGATTATCGTTGGCTTTTACGGGTATTATTGTAGTAAAATTTCGATAATTTTGTTACGAGAGCTCACTCGATGTTTCTTTGGATCCAAATCCAAGAATTTCAACCTTAAGGGAGTTGTATTCGTTCGGGATTTCTAAAGACGTTCTAAGACATCAGAAATCCTAGTGTATTTAATTCAGATTTTTTAGGACTGTTAAAAGTCTTGAGGTATTCATTTGAGATTTTAAAAAGTCTAAGGTATTTAACTTATTTGAGACTATGATTTGTTAAGGCTTTTTAAGATTTGATGGGATTTCAAAAGAAAAAACCATATATGAAATCCCACTCCAAATCCCCCCTCCAGACTTAAGATTTCCGATGATTCCTCCAAAATATGAAAAATCCCAAATCTCAAAAAGTCTCAATGTCACTCGAAATCCCAAACGAATACACCCACCTAAGAGAAATAAATCAATAGCCATTTCCCCAGTTGAGAGAAAGTTGAGAGAAAGACTGTTTTTCTTGTGAGCAATTAGAAATCACTGGAGTTTGTGAGTTCTTACCAATCGACTGTCGTCAGGTGCAGAGGTCCAGAAAGGTAGAAATTTTCCCTTTCTGATACAATAGAATCCGAAAGATCAACAATTTCCTTTCCGGATCCCATGACTGGTTACACTATGTTCGTATGTCTATTCTCTACCAACCTGCACAAATTAAACCAAAACGAAAGAAGATCATGTGCTTAAGAACTTGTGGGACTTTCTTGCCGATAAAGAACAACACGTAAAGACACATAAAGCAGAGGCATTTAACCCAGAAAAACTACATGAACAATGATTAAATTTCTACTGGTCTGAAACACAAAATACAAATGAGATGCCATTTTTTCCCCTTTGTGCTGATAGATAATTAAGTAGGACAAGAATATCTGGTGTATCCCTTAAGGCTTAATCATCAGAGATAGATACTGAAGATTTATATAAACAGGCTGGAAATATACGAAGTAAGAGAAAGGAAAGCATCGACGAGTCGAAAAGTGGGTTCCTCACTTTTTTCTCTCATTCAAAACCGTGCATGAGGCTTTCATCTCACACGGCTCCTAACCTTCTGTCTTTTTTAATTACCTTGACGAAAACCAAATAAACATAGCTCAAGAACTATACTTTCAGCTACAAGAGCTTACTGTCAATATCAGAACAAGCAATCAAGCAAAATAGAGCAAACGAAGTTTCAAATAGAAAACATTTCCAAGATTTTGGAAAGGGTTCATGGCCTCATTTTATGTTCAAAACGAACATAGAACAAATGGCATTTCAATCAGAAGTAGAGACAATCTTATAGAATTACAGAACTAAAAGCCCCAAAATTTCAAACACGAAGTGCTCAAAGAACAAAAAATAAAATATATAATAATAAAAAAAATCAGAAAGCACAAATCTTTCACATAGCTTATGTAGTAGGCCCTCTGTCTGAATCCAAGATTCGGGAGACAAATTACCAATGGAAAAGCACATAAATTGAGAGCAAATTCCTTCTGACCTACATTTTGCACGAATCATTCGCAAACATGAACAGCAAAAGGCTAACGATTCGATTCAAGATAAAGCACAAATTGATAAACACACACACACACAGAACGAATCGCGAAATCAACACAATTTCAAAGGATCAAAGACATTAAATAA